AGTCGAATTACTGTCCTTAGTGTGTCCTTAGTGTGGACACACACGTTCGACTTTGCAATATCGATTCCACATATTCGATTTAAGTAAAATCGAATTACCCTCGTAGTGTAGACATACCCTTAGCCTCAGAAAGGGCTCAACATTGTAATCAGCTAGTCATTAATTCTTACGAAATACCATGCACTGAAATTGTTGATTGAGAAAGAGAATCAGAAGTGATTGCAATATAGATATCCTCTGTTCCCCATGGAATCTCACAAATCCCTCCCTATGGGGATTTCAGTTTTCATTGGACTCCCCTGCATGTTAAATATCATATATATGTAAATATAACTCAGAAGGCTTGAAAATGTCTGAGCTGCTAAAAGACTAGAAAGTGTGTGAATAAAAACAAATGGGCTTGGAATGGTTAGCAATTCATGGTTTAGCATAATGGGGAGGAGGGGGGAATAATGAGGTGGTCTGTGAATCCTTATAGGTCAACATATCATAGTCCGAATTTGTATTTCTGTTAAAGGAATATGCTTCTGCATATTTCCATCTTTTCCCCTCTGAAGAGGGCTTAAGAGAGATTAATCATTTTCTTATCTTCCATTGGGATATAGTATACCTCGAGTGAGTTTTTGTTTATTGCACAGACATGGTACTGTGTGTCTCTTTTGTTTGTATTTGTTTTATTTCTGTTTTCTGTATGTTACTTATATACAATAAATCTTTTTAGACAGAAAATGGAAGATGAAATTTATTTCTTTAGAACTCTCCAGAAATCTCTAGCAACATTCCGTGAACTAGAAGACTCAAAACATTCAGAAGCAAAAATGGAATTGAGGGGGGAAATACACACATGAAATATGGATTTGTGCTGTGCCTTCCAGCAATATTTGTCTCAGTTGTTTTTATAATGAGTGCATTCATTCAGAAAAATGTTTCCTCAAGGAAATTCTCTAATTTGGACTTAAAATAGGAAATATTTCATTTTGAGGTCATTAACCACAAAAATACTGGCCTTATTTGTCACTCTTGCTGGTGTTGAACTGTAAATCCTATTAATGTGCCTTCTATTGTAACTTAGAAAATGTAATTATGTTTTATGGCTGTTATTTTAGTAAGTCTGTGATAAAAAACAAACTACTGTTTCTTGTAATAATTGTCTGATATTAAACCCAAACCTCTGCAGTTCAGAACTGTTGTGGTCTATCTTTTTAAAGATGTGCTGCAATTTTAGTATTAAACTGAGATTAATGCTAATAGGAGTTAAATGAGTAAATCCCTTGTGTGCTGATGGGATAATAGACCATTGTGCATTACTTTTCAGTTAGATTACATTTATTTCCTTTTAAATGAACTAATCTGGATTGTATTGTACGATCTAAGGAACCTTTTTTTCTCTCCTTAGGTATATTTTTAAGAAGAATACTGACCATGAGGAAGTTCACCTATTAGTCCATTTTTGCTAATTCTGCTGAAGAAAATGAAGCTACGCTTTGGCTGTACAGAATCTTTTACCACCACTGTTGGGTAAATGAGAAATGGTCGTGTGATTATGCTGACATCCCAGCATGCATTTGGTAGACCTGTGGTTAACTCGTTCCCTCTCCATGTGTCTGCTCTTACAAAGTTTTGTCCTCATGATACTGTGCTTTCATTCTGCCAGTATGTGCCCAAAAGGCTGCCTTTGTTCTCATTCTGGAGGTTTAAATGTCAGTTGTAGCAATGCAAATCTCAAGGAAATACCCAGAGATCTTCCTCCTGAAACAGTCTTACTTTATTTGGACTCCAATCAGATAACATCCATCCCAAATGAAATTTTTAAGGACTTGCATCAACTGAGAGTCCTCAATTTATCCAAAAATGGTATTGAATTTATAGATGAACATGCCTTTAAAGGAGTGGCAGAAACCTTGCAGACTTTGGACTTGTCTGACAACCGGATTCAAAGTGTGCACAAAAACGCTTTCAATAACTTAAAAGCCAGAGCCAGAATTGCAAACAATCCTTGGCACTGTGACTGTACTCTGCAGCAGGTCCTGAGGAGCATGGCGTCCAACCATGAAACAGCCAACAACGTCATCTGTAAGACTTCTGTGTTAGATGAACATGCTGGGAGACCATTCCTCAATGCTGCCAATGATGCAGATCTTTGTAACCTTCCTAAAAAGACTACTGATTATGCCATGCTAGTCACCATGTTTGGCTGGTTCACCATGGTGATATCCTATGTAGTTTATTATGTGCGGCAAAATCAAGAGGATGCAAGAAGGCACCTTGAGTACTTGAAATCCCTGCCAAGCAGGCAAAAGAAACCAGAAGAAGCTGATGACATTAGCACTGTGGTATAGTATCCTGAATACAACTGACTTTGAGATGGCAATTAGATTTGGATGGCACTAAAACCAGAGGTTTACTTCTAACATTCATTGTAAACATTTAAGACTTTTTTTTCCAGTTTAACTGAATTATGCCACTGTTGATCTTTCTAACAAAGGTTTTTGCTTGGGTGGTATACGTTAATTGTTTCTCTGGTGGTATTCTAAAGCAAGTAAACTAATATGTAAACATTAGTTAGACCCATTTAATAACAAAATTTATTTTTTTAATTTAAACCGAATAAAAGCTTAACTTTGAACCAGGTTAAACAGAGTAATTTATTGATCAGAAATCTGTCTAGTGACTAAACCTGTTTGGTTTGTCAATATTAATGAGATTAAAAATAGTAGTAATACCATGGGTCATAACACTCCTAAAATCCCGGGAACTCCAGTTCACAGCCAGGGGCTGCTCTTGATTTACTCGGAGGAAATCAAATGAAGAGCTGATAAATAGTAGCCCTTTTGTTGTTTGCCTTTCAAAAGGAAAGGGGAGTGGAGGTTGGGAGGGCAGGTAGGCAGTAAGTTCCCGTGGGCTTAAGAAACGGAAGATATGATGGAGCTCTGAATAGCACTTCAACTGAGCTAAGGAGCAGCAGCCATGAGGAAGCCCGTACTTCAGGATGCCACAGCCAATTGGACAGATCTGTAAGTACCAATGAGATATGGGAATAATCGTGTCAAACCAAACCTTAAGGATTGATAAAATGAATTTAAATGTAAGCAGGAATACAGTCTGAAAAACCATGTGCTTATAAACCTGTAACCACTGCAGTATGTATTTTCATACTCCTTATGGAGCATGTGTACTGTTTCCACAGGTATTCTAGTTGCTTTGCCAAGTGAAAAAGACAAGATGTGGTCCTTGTCTTGAAAAGCCTGCAGATAAATGGCTTAGTTATGGTTTTGTCATAAGCCCTGAGCAAGGGGTAGCGGGAACAGATCAGGAGACAGACTGTTACTTTGAGAAGCCCACTGTTCCCTTTGAGAAGCTACCTGCATTTCATAAAGGTGCAAAGAGGTGAGCAGCCTCTGAAGCTACTCTCTTTTCTGTGCATTCGGGCAGATCAGGATGGGGTATAGACAAAGACTTTGCTCTGCTCCACTCAAAACTCCAGCCAGCAAATCTAAACCAGTGTGCCTGGGGAAGTAATATAAACCAGTGGTTCTCAAAGCCAGTCCGCCATTTGTTCAGGGAAAGCTCCTGGCGGGCTGGGCCGGTTTGTTTACCTGCCGCGTCCGCAGGTTCGGCCGATTGCGGCTCCCACTGGCCGTGGTTCACCACTCCAGGCGAGGGAAGGGCGGTCAGCACATCCCTCAGCCTGCGCTGCTTCCCGCAGCCCCCATTGGCCTGGAGCGGCGAACCTGCGGACGCGGCAGGTAAACAAACCGGCCTGGCCTGCCAGGGGCTTTCCCTGAACAAGCGGCGGACCGGCTTTGAGAACCACTGATCACCCACTTACTAACTTGCACAGGTCTGCAGACTTTCACATAATAGTTGGGGGGAAAATAGTGTATTTACCAGCTACAACCACCCAAAATACAGTATGCAGTTTGTACAATTGTGATAATATGCAGGACATACCATATTTTAATTAGGGCTGTCGATTAATCGCAGTTAACTCCTGCAATTAACTCAAAAAATTAATCGTGATTAATAGCACTGTTAAATAATAGAATACCAATTGAAATTTATTAAATATTTTTGGATGACTTTTCTACATTTTCAAATATATCTCTTTCAATTACAACACAGAATACAAAATTCACACTGCTCACTTATATTATTTTTATTACAAATATTTGCCTGTAAAAAATAAAAGAAATAGTATTTTTCAATTCATCTCATACAAGTACTATATTGCAATCTCTTTATCATGAAAGTGCTACTTACAAATGTAGTTTTTGTTGTTGCATAACTGCACTCAAAAACTAAAGTTTTACATTGTTTTGAGCCTACAAGTACACTCAGTCCTACTTCTTGTTCAGCCAATCGCTAAGAGAAACAAGTTTGCTTACATTTACGGGAGATAACGCTGCTCACGTCTTAATTACAATGTCACCTGTACGTGAGAACAGGTGTGTTTGCATGGCACTGTTGTAGCTGGTGTCACAAGATATTTACATACCAAATGTGCTAAAGAGTCAGATGCCTTTTCATGCTTCAGCCACCATTCCAGAGGATATGCTTCCATGCTGGTGACGCTCATTTAAAAAAAAAATGCGTTCATTAAATTTGTAACTGAACTCCATGGGGGAGAATTGTATGTCTCCTGCTCTGTTTTACCTGCATTCTGCCATATATTTTATGTTACAGCAGTCTCAGATGATGACCCAGCACATGTTGTTTGTTTAAAGAACACTTTCACTTCAAATTTGACAAAATGCAAATAAGATACCAATGTGAAATTTCTGAAGATAGCTAAAACACTCAACCCAAGATTTAAGGATCTGAAGTGCCTTCCAAAATCTGAGAGGAATGAGGTGTGGAGCATGCTTTCAGAAGTCTTAAAAGAACAACACTCTGATGTGGATTTTTTTTTGTACATAATTCTACATTTGTAAATTCAACTTTCATGATAAAGAGATTGCACTACAGTACTTAGGTGAATTGAAAAACACTATTTTGTTTTTTACAGTGCAAATATTTGTAATAAATATTAATTGAGCACTGCACACTTTGTGTTCTGTGTTGTAATTGAAATCAATATATTTGAAAATGTAGAAAACATCCAAAAATATTTAAATAAATGGAATTCTATTATTTATCAGTGCGATTAATCACGATTAATTTTTTTAATCGCTTGACAGCCCTAATTTTAATATAATACTGTAAGCAGAGATCCTGTGAAAATTCCAAATACAATACTAATTTTTCTCTAATTTACACCACAGTACCAATAAAATCCAGTACCATGGATAAAAATTGATGATTTAAAAAAAATGCAGATTTTTAATGTAATTGGATGTTTTAATTTAAATTAAATGTTTTTCTTTTAAAAAATAAACCCATTTAAAATTATATTTGAAATTATGACAACCTATATTATGTCCTAAACTTACTATTATATATTAATATATATACATTCAATAAAAACATTCAAGCAGTACGTGTCTGCTGCCAGTTTTAAGGATAGTCAAGCCACTGAGCTGGTAGAAGTCACTGGATAAGCACCTGAAGCCAGAGTATAAGTGCTGGACCAGATTTGACAGTAATAGACTCTTCTGCAGTACAGAGAGAATATTATCTTCATTTTAGTTTATTGAACTAGATCAGTTCAATGACTAGTTCATTCAAAGTTGAGAAACACATTGGGATTTGAAAAAGCAGGAAACCTTGTTTTACTCTTCCAATCTATGAATAAAACAAAGTCTGAGAAGATGAGATCTACTAGTTCTAAAATCTTGAAGGAAATGGTGACCAGAAATAATCCATTCACTTCACTAACTACAGATAATACTTTTGTTTAATAAATCAGTTAGTTTTAGATAGAAATCTTTGTTGGAATAGACTTACTTTTTCTTATGTATTTAAGGTAGTTTTTATTTAACTAATAACAATTTTAAAATAACTATTTTTGTGCATTTAATTGAATTCCAATTTTCATCCAAATGTAGCTGGATACAAATCATGAGTGTAAAAATTACTCATATAGTAAATAAGAAATGCATAATTCTTCATTCAGTAATATATGATAAAAATGTAAAAATTTCAAATCTGAATAAATGTATGTTAAGGCATATAATTGCTAAAATATATATAGTGTATCCTTCTGGTTAGCAACAAAGAAGTATCATAGTTAATATGAAGACTATCTTTAGTTGAAGATCAACATGTTTTAATGGTTGGTCATTCAACCAATCAAAGAGAATCAACATTTCTTTAGGAAAATAACTAAAAACTATAAAGGCAAAAGAAGATTAAAATCAGTTATTTACATCGAGGATGTAAAATCAGTTATTTATATCAAGGATTCCTGCTTGCTCATTTAAATTACTTTGATCTAAATCAATCCATCCTGATAGCAATGGCAAAAATTTTCAGACATGAGTATGTAAAGTTTGGCTCCTAAATCTATATTTAGGAACTTAAATAAAAACGGCCTGTTTTTTGCAATGCAAATGTCACTGAATGAAAATTTTGGCCATGGTGTTTAATCCAATAGGTAGTAGGACATGCACTATAAGTGATTGTGTGGATAGCGCATGTCCTACTACCTATTGGATTGATAGGGGTTTTTTAGGTGGTTTTATTGCTAAAAGTTTATGAAAAATAAGACAGTCGTATAGATAGACTCAGCCTTTAATATAAATTAAACATTTTAAGGGACCATAATCTTTCTTTAAAAACAGGATGTTTTTCTCTTTTCAGATTGAACAAATGCACTGGAATGCATTTCTGCTGTCATGATAAAATAATATTTGTCTAAGAATTCATATAGGTTCAGTTTTACTGAGCATGGAATGTTTTGTGGCCATAGTGATTAAGTGTTTACAAACAGGTGCTTTAGAAAAGCAAGGGTTAAAGGATAAAAACGAATTTTTAAAAAAACTAAAATAGCAATAATCTCTCTTAGAATTATGAGGACATCAGTTACTTCTGTTAAAGCACATGTATAGTTGTGATGGGTTGGGTCACAGAAACCCCTTTGGGACTGCCACCTGATGTGCTGGGATAACCTCCGAGCCCGTTTTCTCTGCCACCTTGGGACTCCAGTAGCTTGCCTTGTTTGAGCCAGACACGCTTGCCTGCTGCAAACACAGATCCAGGTCTGAACCACGACCCCCACAAGCTGCAGGTTTAAATGAAAACAGCCTAAGTGCTCCTGTCTCCAGCACTCAGATACCCAGCTCCCAATGGGGTCCAAACCCCAAATAAATCCGTTTTATCCTGTATAAAGCTTATACAGGGTAAACTCATAAATTGTTCACCCTCTGTAACACTGACAGAGAGAGATGAACAGCCGTTTGCGCCCCCCCCCCCCCCAAGGT